AGAGCGTGCAAACCTTGCTTGCAGGCTTGGAGCTCTGGCTTTCCATCTTTATCAGTGGCAGCATCTTACCAGTTTGCAGCTCAGAGGCAAAAGTGATTTACTGGGGCATAGCATTACACACTGTCTGATTCATCCTCACTGCGTGTGTGCCCTTAACACAAGAGGCAGAAAATGAACTACATTAGCAGGAAATGTTTATCACCAAAAATCTACCTCCATGGATTTTATCCTGTGTTTTCCACAGGCCAGGAATGAACTTAATTACCACAGTTCAAATTATGCCTGGAAGATTATTAAACCAGGATAACTCACTTCTGTGTCTGGTCCCTTTCATTAAGAACAGACAATATTTTTGGCCTTGTGAGGCTTTTGGTTAAAGAAAATACTTAAATCCTGAAGAAGTGAATTTGCAAGGGGGAAGAGTGAGAAGGGAAAGAGCAGCAGAGAGCAGCCCAGGAGAAAGCAAGAGTCAGAAATCTGCAGGAAAGAAACAGACCTGAGGTTCTGCTGTTACCCACACTCTTGTAGAGAAATTCCTGAAGTTAAAATTTGGTCCAAAGACTAAAACTTAAACTTGGAACTGAATTTCTAACAGTTTAGATGAGGCTCAGACTCAGCAGCTTGTTGTGGTCTTGGCACATCAGAAAGAAGGGCAGGTGCTTCAGCCAGTACTCTGTTTTGGACAATCTCAACCAGCTTCTAATGATCCAAGGAAATTGCCACCCTGAGGGATCAAATGCTGTCAGCCCACACTTGGCTCACAGCACAGCTTTCCCTCCTCTGAAAACAGTAATGTGCTATTAGTCAGCCTGTGATTGTGGTCAGATTACACCAAAGGGGCAGATTTCACTGTGGCAGTGTTGTAGATCAGCATCAGACCCAGCAAAGTCTAGAAAAGCCAGACATGGCCAGGCTCATGCTGTCCTAGGGCAGCGCAGTTCCCTCAGTCCAGCACCGTGTCAGGGATGTAGGGAGCATGCCAGAGCCAGCTGGAGCCCCCGGTAATCCCTAGCTGTGAGGAGCATGGAGCATCGTACGTGGGCAGGCCAGGCGCTGGGCTTGGCAACACCGAGGGCTGAGCCGAGCTATCCCCTGCAGAGGTGTGCAAGTGTTGCATGTCAGGCTTGCCAACATGCCTGGAGAGCTCCACAGGTCAGATGCCATGTCACATGAACACTGAGATTTGAGATAGTGGCGTGTTCATCTCTGCTTCCTCCCTTTCCTTTTCAACAATGTATTCCCTCCTCTGCTGTCTCGGCATCAGAGAATTTGTCCTTACATCGCCCCTGCCCAAACGCAGCATCCTCCAATACATTCCTTATTCATCATCTCACCACTGCTCCTCATCAAGCTATGCATCAAGAGAACCTATCAGGGCTTGTGCAGAACAATCTCTTCCAAAAAAATCTTCTAATACAGAATTTGGAAGGACTTCCTTCCCTCCCCCAGGCACTATACAGAACAGCAACCCCCACAGTCCAGACTAACAGTATAGTTATTGTCTTACATAGACCCTGCCACCAATCCTGTGCCTGGAGAAAGGCTGGCTACTGACCACAGGAAAGCCAGGCATCTCTGAATTGCTCCACTGGGTTGTAAACATTAGTACATCAGCCTAAAAGACAGAGTTGGGAGATTTCTCCTGTGCAGCAAGTGGAAAGCTAAACTCTGAACAGATATTCTATAATTCAAATTACCTGTCTTGCACTCCCACCTGTGCCTGGGCAGTGGGCAAAACAATCATTTTGCTAAAAATGTACCTACATTGCTGTAGACTTTTTTTTTTTATTTTAAAGAAACTTCAGTTCATTAAAGAAATAAGAAAATCAGAACTGCTAAATATAGTCTGTCAGCAAAAGGATGAGGGGTCTTATAACAACATAGATATTTTGGGGTTTTGTTTTGTTTTAAATTCAGGATTAAGATTGGAAAAGGAAGGAAAGAAAACTGATAGATTTGGCTCCAGCAATCAAAGAATACAATTTCTCAAATCAAGCACTCTACCAAGTTCACTCTCCTTTCAAACAAAATGATGAGGGACTGTTACCAGCTGTGCAGCAATATATCTTCAGGCTTTATTATTTTGAATTTCAGTTTTTAATGGATTTTACCAGAACCAGTATTATTCCTGGCAGCTTTAAAGGCGCTAAAGGCAGACTGCTGAATGGGGGCAGCAGTTTCTTTTTCAGGCACTAGCTATAGTTCACCCTCTAATTTCCCCACTTTCCTCCACCTTTCTTCTGTACAGACTTTTGTTTCTGAATAGGTATGAACAGGGGCAATTTGGGAATTTGCTTTCCTCAAGTTAATTTCATGGCACTTAGCAGACAAAGTGAAGCCACTTAAATGCAAGCTTATTATATGCAGTTTCAAGTTCTTGTCATCCTGGTGACTTTTTTGTCCATGCATGGCCTGAAACCACATTCTATGTATAACCGGATGGGGATCTGCAAAATGTGACTTCAATTTTGCATTTAAACAAGAATTTTTCTTAATAAGGACCATTTTATTGTCACTTCTCGTCCTTGATATATCATAGAAGGGTTTTTCCAAAGCAAAACTACCCTGTAATATCAGCTTTCCACCTTGCATTTTTAATAGTCCAGTTTGAATATTGAGCACTGAACAGGACTGCAACATGCTACATCCCACACATATTTCTTGTGTCCAATCTAAACAAAAGGTCCCCTGATCCAACCCTAAGATGCTCCTGAGATGTTTTCCCACTGCCAATTTCTCTCACAGCCTGAGACAGAGAGTTTGCATGGAAACAATTTACACGGAGCCTTTAAAAGAGACTCCAACTCCTGCTTTGCTGGCAGCAAAACCATATGCCTGTCTGTTTCCAAAAAATAGCAAGCAGAAGCTGGAATAGAGACACTACTTGGCACAGAGGCATCCTATTTGGGCCCCTCATGTTCCCTCTGCTATGCATATTCCAGAAATCCTTTAGTAACACTAGTCTGAGCTTTTTTTTCTTTTACTGTCACCCCATGACTTCAGCTCTCCAACTGCTCTTGTTATCCCAGAGCCTGAAAATGTGGACCACTCTGAAGGTGTCCCAGTATTTTAGTTTTAAAGGTCATATTAAAATGGGTTGGTGGCTAAAAAGGTGAGTCAGCTTTATCACTGCCAAAATGATATTTTAATCTGAAATCTTTCTTGAAATGTAACTTGAGCAAATAAACAAAGTAAAAATGAATTAAACAATTTTTTTTTCTTAAGAATAAAGATCTCCACTCCTCTGTTTCAGTATTTCAGATGCTGTCTTCTCCTTTGATCTGTGTTAGTTAAGGAAATTGCAGTTTAAGTGGCTTCATCCCATTCAAATGCCTGGTAGCATCCCCCTTCTCAAGGGACAGATGCAAACCCCACTCTCTTTCACTACATTTTTTGAGTACATACTACGTGGCTTCTGTTTCAACCTGCCTTTCCCCTATCCCTCTTCTCATTAACTGAATACTAATGCAGATTTTAATTTGTACATCTAAGATTTAGGAACTAATTCTTTGTTAGAACTTTATGAACTCACAGAGAGAATCTTTTCACATGCAAAAAATACTACTTAGTCTTTGCAGTGGATGCACACCTGCTTTATGTCTGCAAGAATCATGCAAGATGAAAGAGAGAACAGTAATTATACGTGCCCTGGCCTTAAATTCTGCAGGGAGCTCTGGCAAACCAATTGATTAATTATTCACCTAACCTATACCAGGGGGTTTGTATGCCAGACAAAAACTGGGTAAAGGCAGTCATGCCAATTGAAAAACTCCCACTAGCCCTGCTGCCCCCTCCTCCCCCGGAAGAAAACCCAAACAGCAACAAAATGCACACATCACAACTACATAAACAAGCTGGGGCTGTCCTTGCTCTACTGTGGATACCTGGCACTGTGAGAGCAGGCAAGCCAGAGCATTTTTCACATTTCGAAGTGGTGGAAAATAAACAGACTATAACTAAGGAATTGCTGTTTGCTCTCCTGAAAGTCAGACATTAAAGCACTGATGGATTTTAAAGGGGCTCAGCTCTTAATAGTCCCTGTGTCATTACTACCCAACAGGCAAGCATTCATGGGTTTCAATGGAAAGCTGCTGACCTCTGCTCACCATAAGCTGCCTGCCACCTGCTTCACAGGTGGCTCCACCTTCTTCATCCAGAAATAAGGGAAAGGAAACTGAAACAGTTTGCAGTTTTGCCAGCTGCACTTTGAAAACCGGAAAAAAAATAAGCAAGCTAAGCAAAGTCAGCACATAACAATAATGACAATCTTAGCATTATATGCACTGTTACTGAGAACTCAGAAAAAGCACATTTGGGGAAAAAGACTAAACACTTAGCTATGGTCATCTAAGCATATTTAGATTAAATGCATGTGTATAAAATACACACACACACACACAGAGCTTTCAGTTTCTATTCTGTATTATATCTGCAAGACACAGTTTATGCAAGCTATTGCAGGATTGCCACTGGAAATCAAGAGATGGACTAAGCACAGATTCCAATAAAGCATAAAATAAAATCAAGAGCTGAATCTTTGGTTTTAGTTTTGTCAGCATGAAGTTTCTGGAAGCTGTTCTGTGTCCTTGACTGCATTCAGAGCAGTGCTGGAATGCAGCCTATATCCATTTCTTAAGCCAAAGTAAGTATTTTTAGACTTTTCAAGATGAAATATTAGGAGAAACAGAAATCAAGGAGATAGAACCAGATTTGAAATTTCACTTTGAAAAAAGATGCCAAGAAACAGACACCACATATTCCAGTATCCAAGGTACAGAACTGGCCACACAGCACAGGGTGTAAGCCATGCCACCAAGAAGCCTGCCAGAACAATTCAGGTCTCATGTAGGAGGCTTCAAGAAGATGATGACATGCTGCTTGTGTGCTCAGCCACATTTATGTTCTCTATAAAGTATTTACACCCTTAAAGGTGTACACTTCGAGTAAGCTGGAGAGCAGACACCCAGTACAGGTGAACCATCTTAGTCCTTGTTACTTACTACCGATGTTGCTGCTGTGGGTGGGCTGATGCTTGGCCTCTTTGTTTCTCTTCAGAAGCTGCCAGCTTCTGGGCATTTTCACCTTTCTCCATTTCACTGTTGCCGTGCCAGGGGTTACCCTGAGAGGAAGATGGAGTATGGGAGGCAGTAGCTGTCCTGTACCTGCTGCCTTCCTTCCATCCCCCAACCCCAGACATGGTTTTACAAGTACCTTCCCTTGATAGAAACCAGTATTGCTGCTACAGCTAGGGAGGCATTCAAAACTTTGGAGTTACCACAAATCAGTTTCAATTCCTGGTAAGCACCTCCCCTTCCTGAACTTTTGACTGGCAGGCATGCCAATACATGTACTGCTTTCTGAGGATCCTCCAGCTGAAGCTGAAGTTTCATCATCTCAGTCACAGCACTCAGGCAGAAAGGGAGTCAGAAGGTGACAGCAAAGCTGATCTGTACTAATAAACCAGGTGACAACAGAAGCAAGGGGAGGTCTGACATTTTTCTGATATATTTCTGACATACATTTCTGATATATTTCTGACTTTTTTTTTAACCCAGCCCTTCCCTGTGACAGAGGGAATAACTCCTGGGGGTGACCCAGGAGTAGTTATTATTATTATTATTATTATTATTATTATTATTATTATTACCCATCCCTGAAGGTGAAGGTAACCCAGATTTTTGCTAATAGATCTCTTGGGGCAGGTTTGAGTAAAAAAACACTGAATGATCAGTGTTTGCAAATATATATATATATGCACATATATATATATATGCAGCTATATAGCCATTTTTGGTTACTATTATCTACAGTAATATGATAAAGATATAACTTAAAATGTGCAAGAGTTAAAAAAGGAAGAAAGAGAAAGGAAGCCTAAGAGTAGGAAGATACATAACAACCACCCCTGGATTTACAATGAGACTTGAGTGTTGCTGTTGGTGGAAGTGATGATTGAAGGTCTTGACCCATTGATGGGGGGTGTGTGTAAGAGTGGGCAATTTGGCGTGGTGAAAAGCACCATCCTGTCTCCACAAGATCTGCCTCTCATTGGCCTCAAAGCCCAGCTTGCAGGCTCTGACAGTTATAAGTTCACCCCCTCTGTCTCATGCAGACCAGAGGTTTGCCACTACACACCCAAAAGCTCATCTCTTTCTTGGGGGGTTACAAATGTGGTCTCAGCAAAGCACCCTGGTGCCTTCACAAATGGACAGGTTTTTTGAGTCATAGTCCAGTCTCTCACAAGTGATTTTTCTGCATGAGTGTACAAAGAAAGATGAAAAATAAACTAAAAACTAACCTTCAGGTAAATTTCAATGCAATGGTCCAAAAAATTCTAATTCAGCCTTTCAATTCTGCTCAATCAGAAAACTTCTTTACTTTGACTTTCCTAATTCTACCTGTATAGAGGAAAAATACATGATCCACTTATTAAAAATAGAGATCCTTTGAGTGATCACATCTAACCAGTGGTAGTGTGTCCATGGGATCTGCAGGGCTGGGGATAACCAGCAACCTTCTTAATATCATAAGTAAATAAAAGACGTTTGGCAACTTCTAAGCCAAATGAAAAAGAGCTAGCAGTGCTACTCGAGGTTAACTCAGCAGAACTAAAGAGATCCAGCTCTGCACATGCAGAGCTCATCCCTCTTTGTCCTCAGTTGATCAAGGTGCACTTAAAACACACCACTGGCCAGGTGTCCTGACTTCCCAGACCACCTAGGTCTTAGCAGCACTCTACACACACACAGGGGAAGGAGTAAAGTAAAATGCCATATGGAAAACCACAGGCTGCCTGATGGTTATAACACTTCTTGGGACCCTGCCACCAGCAGCTCACCTCCCAGAGCTTCCATATCCACAAGGTTGCGTCTCCTAGGGCTGCCCCAAGAAGGCAGCACCAACAGTCTCGCCCTCCCCCTGTCCCTCCTAACATGCTCTGCAGCAGAGACGATCTTCATTTGTACACAAATCATTCTGCAGACTTTGGAGACTGCAAGGGCAGTGTGCTGTAAAGGGATGGACTGGTTCATAGTCCCTTGCATCACTTCTCTTCACAGATAGATAGATAGATAGATAGATAGATAGATAGATAGATAGATAGATAGATAGATAGATAGATAAATAGATATTTAATGTACCAGGTGCTGGCAAATGAAAGCAAGCATGAAGCTTATTTCCTTCTGTAGAACTGCAGGGTCAATACAGGAGATGCAGAAGCACTAGAAGTAGCACAGAAATGATACCAAAGTCATGTCTGATGACTGCAAAGATTTGTGGGATAACAGCTGTGCCTACAGACACCCTATCTGGTAAAAATCCAGCTTTGACATCTGGAGTGTTCTTATCCACGCAGATTGATGTCTTAATAACCCATATTTAATTACGAAAATTGATTATAATTAATGTGGCCACTGCTGCTGTGTCTTCAATCCTATAATCCTATATTGTTATATAAAATTCAGATCTAGTGTCATTTTCCTGTTGAAATTTAGAAACTTTTGGCTGAAAACAGTAACTGTAGAATCTAAATATTTATAACTATATTGCTCAAAAAACTGGGATGTGATATGAACCCAAGCACTAGAAGCTTGATCACTTCTGTTCCTTCCAATCCCCATTTATTTCATAGCTCTGTTGTGAACAATCCAAACTAACTCTGTCCAGGACAGCATCCAAGTTTGGCTCTAAGGATGGTTCATGCAAGACATGACTCTCAGACAGTCAGTATTAACAAGTGTACCAGATTTACTTTGTCCACCCTAAACATCTCTTCTTCACTATCCCAGCAATCTTAAACTCAACCCACAGCCCTTGTGTAATACTCCAGTGTACCATTCATCAGCCCTTCAGTTTCGTGCTACTCAACCACAACATTTCACAGGATGCAACCCAGCTCTTACCTTGCTTAAGATGCATTGAGCTGAAATATCCCCAAAATAATAATCAAGCTCTAGCATCATGGCAATACCACCTAAGGCTGTCAGGACACTCGGAGTTTGGTAAGGCCGTGCATATTGCCTTCACTAAGATCAACCCAGCCGCTTAGCTACTTCTAGCCTAGTGGAGGCTAGTCTTGGGCAGCATATATATGAGACTGTACTGGATGTATTTAGGAAAAAGGATCAGTCTCCAACCCTGTTTTATTTAGAGTTGTAGATGTTAAATAAACACTAAAACGTCAGAGTGCCAATGTATTCAGTCTCCTGAAACATGCAAACACCACCAAATTTCAGCCCTTCCCAAATCTTCCATAAGGATTTTAATTCGGTACTTCTATTTTTCTAGACCCACAAAATACTAGCTGCCAATTCTACCTGAGGGGCTGTATTTATATTTTATTGTTTCAGATCCCTAACTGGATCCGAGGCTCGATGCACTGGCCCTTGCTATCAAGTGAGCACTCACACAGCTGGTGTGAGGACTCCTCCCTCCCCACCAGTAGGAGAGGGGAGAAAACAGGAAAAGGAGAAAGAAAATTCATTTGTCGAAATAAAGCCTTTTTGTCTGTAAAGCTCTATTGCCTTCAGCTATTAACAGCCATTTTTTTCTTTTATTTTGTGGGAGAAAGAAAGACAGAAAATGATCTTTCTTTTGCTCTGAGAAAATTCCTCAGTGGACATGTGAAATATTAAGAATCGTCATATTCCCTCCCTCACCTGTGTTTCTCATGAAGTTGCAATAATAAACCAAAATAACTTCTGTGGAGGAACATTTTGTATTAAACCTTTATTTCCAACTCTGCAGCACCATGAACTATACCAAAAATGAGAGGTATCAGAGACATTTTCTCACTATAAAGGATCTGCGTCAGCCATGTCATCATTTGTTTGGAAATTGTTAGATAGGCTAAAACTCTCTTCTGTGAAAGAAATAGTATGTATCAAACCCCCCCATGAAATTAAACCACTGTAATGTTCCCTATCTTTTTTTCCTTGAAGACAACTGTTCATTCTTCATTATTTCACTGATTGGTTTATGGCATTTTAAGGTTTTGCATTTTTAAGGGTTATTTTTTTTCCACAACTACTGACACGTTTCATTAAAAGCTAAGATTTTTATTTAACCCAAAGATATTAGAAGCCTAAAGCCTGAAGAAAAACATCAAACTGAAGGAGACCTTTGAAAGGACAGCAAGGACAGGCAAGCTTTTTTACAGCCCACTCTCTATTTTTCTCAGAAGCCAGGAAATGGTATCAGAAGGCCTTGATTGCTGGAGAAATGCTTTTTCCTTTGTCATCAGCACTAAAACACTTAGTCCAACAGCTGAATATAATGCTCAAGGGTTCACATACAAAGCTTTTTTCCCTGGATATTTTGTCTAAGTAGGTAAGACACATAGCTGAATATACTACAGAGCATATTCAGTAATTGATCATTGGGAACATATCCCTATATTTTAGAGCAATGGCAAATGAGGGCAAATATCCCTAGAGGAGTATCTATAATTAGAAATGCTTATAGAGTTGTTATACCGTGGTGGCAAAATAAGAATTGAATTTTTAGAGGTGCATTTTACCCATGTTTTCCTGACTGAGTACTTTACCTTGCTGTACAATTAGTCTGATTGCTTTCTGCAGGGTTGATAGCACTAATTGTTACAGCTGTGGGTGCTGGAGAAGAGAAATTTCTCTGCTCCCTGGAGAGGAGCCCCGGGAGGAGGGTAAAATGTCAACATTTTGTTTAGATTTATTCTTGTTTAGATTGAGGACTGGAATTTGTCAGGTTCAGCAGAAAGAATGCCATTAGCTTTGACAAGTGCGTGTGTGTGGATTTGTTGGGTAATCTATTTAGGAGATGTAAAATGCTGCACACACTTCCCATTTTATTGCAAAAAGCTGAAATTGACGGTACCTGTCAAAAGCTATCATCTTCCACTCTCTAAAAGAAAATTGACCCTTGCTTTCTCTACAGTATCCTTCAGTATTACAGCAGGTCCACCTCTCCTTTAGCTAATACTGCTTCAGCAAACAGAAGTGGGGATTGAAAATATAATTAACTGAAGTCCAGAATTTGCTGTATTGATGTCCACTGGCTGAAGATTATTGCCATGTTTTAGGAGCAACTCTTTATCCAGAAGAGCACTACACATATCTATGTTTCTACATAAATAAGACTAAATAATAAAGTAGGGTTGTTTAAAAGGTCTGATGTTACAAAAACAATCAGGACTACAAATGAATGTTTTATACCATTAAAAATGCCTGCAAAAATCTACTGGAAAAGGCAAAATTAACTCGTAAACTGCACAAACAGTATCAGAAACAAAGACCTCTAAGAGCTATTGCTGCAG